AAAAAAAAGAGGGAAGAGGAGAAAGAAAGGAAAAAAAAAGAAAAGAAAAAAAAAAAAAAAAAAAAAAAAGAAAAAAAAAAAAGAAAAAAAAAAAAAAAAAAAAAAAAAAAAAAAAAAAAAAAAAAAAAAAAAAAAAAAAAAAATAAAAAAAAAAAAAAAAAAAAAAAAAAAAAAAAAAAAAAAGGGGGGTGTTGTTTTTTTAATTCACGCATCTATGTTTTTTTTTCCTCATTATTTTTGTATTTGGTCTTGCATGAGAAAAAAAAAACCAATTTAATTATGGGTATATTTGTCATTTCATCTTAATAAAACAGAATCTTTCGGAATCTTTCTTTAATTTGGTTTTGCACAAGTGGAATTAGTATTGCATATAGCCGCAGCCTTATTCAAATTATAAAAAAATCCTTCATGTTTGAATAATTACAATCACTTTCCTTAGCTATGTCTTGTTTTACTTCCACCTTTACGATGTCAAATTTATCAACTAAATAATGGATTTTTTAATAAGACAATACATAATTAAGGGGTATGATTGTAATTATCCAAACAAGAGAGATTTTTTTCTTAATTTTAATTTACCTGAGGGGTGACTGTAGTTTGCACTTATAATTAGTGACTTATTAGTACATACTAAAACGTCATGTGACCAAGCTTAGATATGTAATAAACTATAAGTTATAACAAAATCAAGATCTTCTAAATCATCCACTACTTCAAACTCCTCATTTTTCATACTTTATGAGCTTATATCGAGAAATTGCATAGTATCATCGTCTGCATCGATCATCACTGGATGTACTACTCGAAACAGTATTGTCATGATCATCGTCGTCTTCATCCTCACTCATAAACTCTGAGCAGGGCCGGCCCTGGGGTGGGGCGAGCAGGGCCCACGCCCAGGGCCCAGTTTTACTAGGGGCCCATTTTCAGTGTTTTTATATATATATACTAACATTTTTTGTGTGAAAAAAAATATATTTCTATTGTATATTTTTTTTATTCTTTCATTGTTTTTAAAACAAAATATGTATCTATTTATAAATTTTAAAACTTAGTTTACAATATATACAATTTAATTTTTTTTATTTTATTCAAACAAAAATTATTTCATACATTTCCAACATTTGCTTTATAAAAAAATTTAGATATACATTAATATTTTCAATATTTTATTGATAATGAAATTTAAATTAATAAATATTTATCTATATTATTTCATAAAAAAAAAGGTAAAAAAAAAAAAGTCGGACTGAGACCTCATATTATTAAGGGAACAAAATATATTCTCGCCCCGGGCCCCCGAATACGCCGGACCGGCCCTGACTCTGAAATGTCTTTATCTTCATTACTCTAATATGTCCTTATTAGAGGATGTGTATATATATATATATCATATATATGCATGTCCAAGAATAGTGTTAGATGATCAATGTATGCCACCGAATATTGCATCGACTGATTACTAATATATATTGGTCCCCTTTATGCATTATTGGACTTCTTCTTGACCAAAAAAAAAATATCGAACCTCGTTAATGCTTTAATTTTGACATATGCATTAAATCTTGAAAACATCGAAAACATTAATGTGGTAATTAATTACTGCATTAATGTTTTTAGGCCGAACTGATTGCATATTACTGTAGTTTTCAGTTCAGCCCGTTTATTTATTCTTTTATATAAAAATATGAATCTTGTACGAACATATTCAAGTTTCAATTTTTTAGGCCGAACTGATTGCACACGACACGACTGATAACTCAATGTACATATGTAAATATGGATTCTTTTGTAAAAAAAGAAACGATGGTATAGCTAGTAAATTAAATTCAAACAAATTAATTTCAAATTCAAATTCAAATTCAAATTCAAAAGAATTTTATTTTTGAGTTCCACGCTAACAAAGTACTAACAATGGCGGACCCACGTACTCCTTTTCCCATGCACATGCAAACGGACCTTTCACGATCAAGTTTGAAAAGTTTTTTAGGGTTACGCCAAACTCCTTTACGTAACTGACTCTTACATTTTCCAAATGTTAAACATTGTTAACGTTGGTTTTTTTTTTTTTTAGTCAATTAAGGAAAAACACACCGACACACCCCTACTGCTAAAACTCTAATAATTAAGTAAGAAAATATCAAGAAATTTCGATATTCGGTGGGTTTCAAACATGGCCGGCGAGTCGGCGACCAATTTGTAACGCAATGTATTAATTAAACTTGTTACTTATTGTCGTGAAGTGTGTGACTCAATACTAATAACGACTTAATTAGCTTGGCTGTGAAATTTATGAAATTATATTATTGTTGCGATTAATTAGTTAAACGATGTCGTTTAAATTAAGGAAACCACGTCATTGATTTTTCGAGTGCAGGAAAAAAAAAGATCTCTCTTTCTATCTTCTATATATATACTACAGCCAAATCAGTAATAACTTATAACTTAAAGCTTATAACTTATAAGTTATAATACAGGAAAATAAAAATGCATAGTCTCTCATCAGCTCCTCAGCTAAATTTCTTTAATGCATTTGGACGGTGCAGATCGGTCGCCTCCGAACGATGCACCAGTAAGTTTTTCGCTTTACATTAAATCCGATTAATATTATATATGTTTCTTCATATATATTTCGAGTTTGGTCTAATTACAAAAATATTTAACTAATTTTTCTTTTTAATATTTAAGTATTTATTTGAATTACGAAAGTTAAACCTTGAGTTTTTTTCTTTTCATTTTATAGAAAAAAAATGTCGATTTTTTTTTTGCGATTCAATATCAGAAACATATATGATCATATTTAACTGTTTTTTTTTGTAATTGAATATATCAAATTTCAACAACACTTTTTTTACTCGTCGATTTTATAAGATAGAAAAAGAGAAATTTCTCACCGGCAATATTTATATAATTTTCCTAGTGATGTGGAAGATGAGAAGTAAAGAGGATGCAACGACCAATATGGAGTCGTCGTTCCTTGTTCGTCGAAGAAATATACCAAACGACACCAGAAAAGGTATCGGAAACGTAATCTAAAAGTAATGTAATTAAACACTAATAGCTCTTCTGTTTGTCACTTTATGACTAAATAAAATTAGCGACACTCCATTAAGGACCATTGGTGACAAGTTTCTAAATCACCTCTTTATTTTACGTGGTGACTTCACACGTTTTTATTTTTTTCAAATTTAATTATTTAATAAATGTACGTATTAATTTCTTAAACACCGAAAATAGTTTTGAGACGATGTATATAAATTAAACCAAGTTGTTGCAGGTAGAATGAACTTGCCTCAAGTATATCTTCAAAATGACCACTTATTAGAACATGGATCCCTTAAGAAGGTTAGTATACATATACCAACATTATATATATATATATATATATATATATATATATATATATATATATATATATATATATATATATATATATATATATATATATATATATATATATATATAGACACACATATATATATATAATGTTTAATCTTAATACAGGATATGCCTCTTCCTTTGATCAATAAGTCACATGAAATATACGAATCTATTGACTACATTAAAAATATTTTGAGTTCAATGGACGATGGACGAATAAGCGTGTCGCCCTATGACACTGCATGGGTTGGCCTAATTAGAGATCTTGATCAAGGACGGAATATTCCTCAATTTCCGTCAAGTATTGAATGGATTTCAAATAATCAACTCTTTGACGGTTCGTGGGGTGACGAACACTATTTCTTGGCGTACGATCGGTTAATCAATACACTAGCATGTGTAGTTGCATTGAGATACTGGAATGTTCATGGTGACAAGAGTGATCGAGGTAGTAGTTAACCTAATTTTCCGACAACCTTACTAAAAACACAATTTTTCCTTTCTTGAATATATATATATGAATTGTTTTTTGTTTATTAGGGATATCATTTATTAAAGATAATATAAGTACGCTTGGAGAAGCGAGCCCCGATCACATGACATGTGGATTCGAAGTTGTGTTTCCTGCGCTTCTTCAACGAGCTAAAGAATTGAACATTGGCGGTATTCCTTATGATGCTCCGGTTATTCAAGATATTTTGGATGTTAGAGATCGAAAGATGAAAAGGTTAGTTCTACTATACCAGCAGATCAAAATTATTATTATTATTATTATTATTATTACTATTGTTATTATTATTAGTATTATTTATTAATAAATGAGAATGTCGAAAAATTAATATGAATGTATTATTGGACAAAGGGTGCCTAAGGAACTATTGCACGAGGTACCAACGTGCTTATTACACAACTTGGAAGGACTTGGGAATTTGGAATCCCTCGGAAAATTAGAGTGGCCGAAGATTCTAAAGCTGCAAACACCAAAGGGGTCGTTTATTACTTCCCCTGCCGCGACTTGTTACGCGATTACGGAGACTAATGATCAAGATTGCATCGAATTTATTCAATACGTCGTTAATAAATTCGATGGTGGAGGTAATTGTTTATATATGTTCCTTTTCAATTGTGTGTGTTTGTATGCATATATCTAAAATAATGTCATATATTCTTTTCATTTTCAGCTCCGACGGTATACCCTGTGGATATATACGCACGACTCTGGGCCGTTGATCGACTGGAACGACTTGGAATTTCGCGATTCTTTGAGCCAGAAATTAAGAGTTGTTTGGATCATGTATATAGGTATGCATACTAATATATTCAAATTGGTAATATATAATATATTAATTCATGAATTTATGCCTCATGTCTTAAATTGGATTATATTCCAGGTTTTGGACAGAAAAGGGAGTTTTTAGTGCAAGAAATTCAGAATTTTGTGACATTGATGATACATCCATGGGTATCAGACTTCTTAGGTTGCATGGATACAATATTACCCCAAGTACGTGAAATTACAAAATAAAAATAAAAAATAATCTTAATTTTAGGTCTAATTAATGGAAATTAAAATGTTGTGACAGATGCACTGAAAACATTCAAGAACGGTGACGAGTTCACATGCTACGTCGGTCAAGGATTCGAGTCACCGTCTCCGATATTTAATCTGTATAGGGCTTCTCAAGTATTATTCCCAGGTGAAACAATTCTTGAAGAAGCCAAAGAATTCTCCTACAAATTTCTAAAACAAAGGCTAGACAACAATGAACTTCTTGATAAATGGTTAATCTCCAAACATCTCCCTAATGAGGTAATTAACTATATATAACTAGTATATTTTACGTAAATTCCGAAATTAACCGATGATATATATATAATGATTCTTTAAAACAGATAAAGTGTGGTTTAGAAATTCCATGGTATGCCAGCTTGCCTCGAATTGAGACTCGTTTTTATATCGAAAATTACGGTGTAGATGATATATGGATTGGCAAGTCATTGTATAGGATGCCGGAAATCAATGAAGAACGATACCTTGAGCTCGGGAAATTAGATTACAACAGATGTCAAGCGCAGCATCAGATGGAATGGAACCATATGCAGCAGTACTTAATATCTATACATAAAACTTAATTATACAATTATTATACATATGATCTGCATATCTTTGAATTTATTAAATTTATTTTCGCAGATGGTACGAACATTCGAATCTTGAAGAATTTGGAGTAAGCAAAAAGGAACTGCTCCTCGCGTTTTTCGTTGCGAGTTCAAGCATATTTGAAACAGAGAAATACGGAGAAAGAATAGCTTGGGTTAAAACCAATATCCTCTCTAATATTCTTTCGAATCACTATTATTCCATTGAAGATTCTTCGGAGCAGAGGACTGAATTATTGGTGGAATTAAAAAACAAACAAGGCAGAAAATGGCAAGTCTCGACTATTTTTACACACACTCTCGGTCAAGAATGTCCAAACTTACTTAGTCCTAACTTCATCGCGTCTATTTATTTTTAATATATGTATTCGTTTTATTGTTTTCAGGGGATATAGTTACAGTAAGGTACATAGACTTATCGCAGTCTTACTCGAAACGATTCAAGAATCAACAACACATACACTAGATCGGACTGGCGTAGACGTTAGCAATCTATTACTTGATCTAGTAAGTTAAACCGTAAATCCCTACAAATACACACATACACACACACACACGCGTGTGTATATATATATATATATACACGAAGTTCTACTAAGTAATGTCGATATATATGACACGTACAGTGGGGGGCATGGTTAAAGAAGCTAACCGGGGAAGGAGATGATGAAATAGAACAAGTGGAGCTAATTGTCGGAACATTGAATATTTGCGGTGGCCATATTTCACCTAAAGACGATAAACTATCCCACGATGAATACAGAACTCTCTGTCGACCCAGTAACAAAATCTGTCACCAGCTTGCAGAATTTGAAAATAGAAACAAAAAGGTGAGAATTATTATTATTTTTTTAAGCAACTTAAATTTGATATTAATACTTTTTGCTAAAAAATATACGTATAGGTAAACGACGTGGAATGTACGAGTGCGAATAGTGAAATAGATAAGGACATGCAGCTGCTGTTGAAGTTAGTACTACATCCAAACTCGAGCTGCAACTTAAGTAAAGATGTGAAGCAAACATTTTTTGTGGTGGTTAGAGCATTTTATTACAAGGCGTATTTTGCTACCGAGCAAATCGACAGCCATATTTCCAAAGTCCTCTTTGAGAAAGTTGTCTAGTTCTCGTTATACTTTACCCCAGCCGGCTGCCGACACATGCCCAGCCCTAATGTAAACAACCACGTAAAGAAGATAACACACACACACATCTAACAAATTGACCAATGAGCAATACGAGTCACGAGACACGGTGGTCGAATAATAGATTTCGAAGTTACATTTGTAGTTGGGGGAGGGCTTTCTATGTTACCAATCACATTAGGTTTATCTCTATCACGTATACATGCTTTTTTCATATTCATCATCCATACCAATTTGTTAAATAGTACTCTTAGGTCTCGTTTGGTTAAGGAGATTAGTCATTATTAATTAAATGTTGTTTAGTATCTCCAATAACTTACCGGGTCGACCCGCAAATATTATGTTATCACAGTGTTTTCTAGGCATTCTTTGCAATTTGCACACCAGTACATGCAAATGCAATAATTGCATGTAATACTTCAAGTGCTGTAGCCCAAGCGTTTCTATAAATAAATCATTCACTGTTCAATTAATGAAGCCACAATTATATTTACTCACTACAAGAAAATGCAAAATAGGCAACGATTTTTTTATTGACGAAATTAATTTTGTTGCCAATAGTTATGTTTTAGCAACGAAATATAGTATGAGTGGCTAAAGATTAATGTTTTTGTAACAAGATATTTTTGTTGCCTTTGAATCTCATAGGCAACGAAATATATTGTTGTGAATAGTATCATATATATTTTGCAACGAATTTCATGAAAGACAACAACTTTGTTTGTTGCAAAAGAACATTTCTTTTTGCTACGATATAAACTAGTAGTAAATACATTTACAACGGCAACAAATTTTTGTTTGTCACCAATAAGTGACGAAAGACGACAAAATATTTTGTTGTAAATGCTCCAAGATATTTGGCAACAAAATATATTCATTTCAAATTTAAAAACCAACTCTTTTTTCTTGATTTTAATTTACTTTATATGTTATTAAATCGATATAAATATTTTAATAAATTATTGAATTTATTAATTAATTTTAGAATTTCATCAATCTCAAATCTATTACAATACATTAACTATACATATACATATTATATAAAATAAAATATGACAAGAAAAATTTTATTTGCTTATTGTAAATTTTATTTTTTTGAACATAAAATATATTGTTTTCGTTATGACACTATATATTACTTATTTATATAATTTATTCGACATTATTTGTATAACTATTTTAATCATTTTACCTTGTCTATTTAATTATTATAAATTTATTTGATGTATATTTACACAAATGTGCTATTGCCCCAGCGGTTGGGGAGGTCTATAAATTGAAATCAACTAGAGTTCGAATCCTTCTACTATCATGTCTGTATATATTTGACATTTATCAACTGTGGCCCATCGGGCCAGCCCTAAGTTCGACCCAGTAGTTCCGATTTCGACAGAGGTCGGGTTGGGTTCGGGGTTTGACATTTATCAACTGTGGCCCATCGGGCCAGCCCTAAGTTCGACCCAGTAGTTCCGATTTCGACAGAGGTCGGGTCGGGTCCGGGGTTTGACATTTATCAAGTGTGGCCCATCGGGCCAGCCCTAAGTTCGACCCAGTAGTTTCGACGGGTTCGGGGTTTGACATTTATCAACTGTGGCCCATCGGGCCCTAAGTTCGACCCAGTAGTTTCGATTTCGACAGAGGTCGGGTCGGGGTCGGGATGTGCGTTGGGTTGGCCCATCGGGCCAGCCCTAAGTTCGACCCAGTAGTTTCGACGGGTTCGGGGTTTGACATTTATCAACTGTGGTCCATCGGGCCCTAAGTTCGACCCAGTAGTTTCGATTTCGACAGAGGTCGGGTCGGGGTCGGGATGTGCGTTGGGTTGGCACACACACATATTATATTGGTATATTTTGTTTTCTATTTACATATCTTTTGCAACGAAATAAATTCGTTGTGCGTACATATCTTTAGCAATGAAATAAATTCGTTGCGTATACTAAATACATTGGCGACGAAATAAATTTGTTGCCTATAATAAATGTATTGGCAACGAATTATATTGTAGTGACTAATTACATCTCTCTCTCTTCATGGAAATAATCCAGGTCCGGTTTATTTTGACACACTATTTCTTCATTTTCGTACTTATTTCCCTCCTAGTAAAAAAAATCATAAAATCAATACCCACAACTCCCCAGAAATTGCATCCAGGCCCTTGGAAACTACCTGTAACGAGAAACGGGTGACCTGGATCCAAACCCCACGACCCGTCTGGATTCTGATTCTCCATTATCCAATCCAAGACTGCGGGAAACACGGCCGCCGATCGCTGTCGCCGCCACCGGAATATTCCATCGCCGGCACGATCGCCACCCATGCGGTGTCGTATGCCGACGGAGACATGATCTCCACCTTGTCATTTGTTATCCTCTCTCTGATTTTCTCGATCAAGTTTCGATTATTGGCCCGGGAATTAACGTTGACGGCGCATTTCGTAACCACCATTCTTCTGCCGAATACGCCGGAAATTTACGTAACAACTTATCAGCTCCTCCCAACGTAAGCATTGTCGAACTATGATCAAGAAACAAAATAATAAACATTTGAATTATTTGTCGTTTATTAAAACTACTTTTCAATAATGTGGAATATTAAACTGAAAACAGTCAAACCCGATATATTGACTGTATGAACATCTGGTTCAGATATTCAACAATCTATAACAAAATATCAACATCTATTAATATATTAACACATGCATGCACATATGATAGATACATTTATCTTAAATATATATGTATTGATAAGTATAATGAATTAAATTATATAAAATATTTAAATCTTTGTCGTTATATTATGAAACTACTTTTCAATTCCACAGTTTCCGCGAGCTATATCTAGTGTACGTTGAACGACAAACTTTGTGACGTGTACCGGGATAAGTGTTTATAATTAGGGCAAATTACGGTCGCCCTCCTGAGATATGTTCAAATTACGAAAAAACCCTTCATGTTTGAATAATTACAACTACTTTCCTCAATTATGTCTTGACTTAGACGTCCACCTTTAGGATGCCACATTTATCAACTGAATAATGTGTTTTTTTTGTAAGACAATACATAGTTGAAGGGTATGATTAATTATCCAAATACAAGGGGCTTTTTCGTAATTTAAGTTTACCTCAGGAGTGGTGAGTGTAGTTTGCACTTATAATTAGTGACATATTAGTACATACTAAAACCTCATGTGACCAAGCTTAGATATGTAATAAACTATAACATAATCAAGATCTTCTAATAAAATAAGGGCAAATGGCAAAAAGTCCATTATAGGGGACTTAAATGCACATTGGTCCACAAAAAAAATAGTCTTTCAAATAAACCCAACCCCATGTTTTTAGTCCAAAATACCCTCCATAATATAATTCTTATCAATTCCATCCATTATGCTCTAACTTCCTTAATATTACACATTGACCACGGATTTAAACAAATCACATTAACCCCCAAAATAATAATTTTTTGAAAAAATATTTTTTTTTTCAAAAAATAATTTTTTTCCGGCTAAACTCCGGCGTTGATTTTTTTTTTTTTTTTTTTTTCTAAAATTTTTTTCCGGCCGGTAACCGGCGTTGACCTTTTTTTTTCTTAGAAAAAAATATTTTAGTTAATATTACTGTATTGACTACTAAATTACTGTCTCAGACAATAATATTACTGTTTGGGACAATAATATTATGAATAGTAGTTTCCCGAACAGTAATATTATTAATATTACTGTTTAGACAGTAAAATTACGGTTGGAGACAGTAATTTAGCAGCCAAGACAGTAATATTAATTAAAATAATTTTTTTTAAGAAAAAAAATTCAAAACAAAAGTCAATTAACAGTTAAATTACTGTCACCGACAGTTAAATTACTGTCACCGACAGTTAAATTACTGTTGAAGACAGTAATTTAGCAGCCAAGACAATGATATTAATTAAAAAAAAATTAAGAATAAAAAAATTCAATTAACACTTAAATTACACTCTCCAACAGTTAAATAACTGCTGGAGACAGTAATTTAGCAGCCAAGACAGTAATATTAATTAAACTATTTTTGAAGAAAAAAAAAAGAGTCCATTAATAGTTAAATTACTATCTCCG